GATGTTGATACAGTTTCTAAACGTCAATCACACATGTTGGTTGTTTTTGATGATATATTTGGCTGTGTTACTTTCATTTCAAATCTGGAAAAACTGCATAAATTGTTTAGTGCTTTGGTTGATGATCGTGCTAAAACAGCTGCAGATATAGAGGTTTCAAAGAAGAAGAAGAAGAAGAAGAAGAAGGGTGAACAATCAAAACAGGAAGACAAATCTAATGAAGAAATTCCTGTCTACAGACTGAAGCTTGTGTTCACATCCAGGACATACAACTGGAAGGAAGGATGTTCCAGGCTACATCAGTACAAGGTGAATCTGCTTACAACAGAAGCTGTTCTTGATATGGCTAAAGATTGTCTCACGATAGAAGAAAAGAAACGTATGTTATGTTCCTACAAGTCCAAACACCCTGCATGCGATATCTCTGAAAAAGATATTTGTATCATCGCAGATTTAAAACACAACATGTTTGGATTTCCTCTTATCGGCAGACTGTTTTTCACCAATCCTGTCTTCCAGATGCACAACCTGGAATTCTTCAACCATCCACTGACCTACCTGAGAGGCGACCTTGACACCATTGTCCGGGAGGAAAGCAATAGATCGGCAGCAATCATCATCCTCATCCTGTCTGATGGGAAACTGAATCTTGTTTCTTTGCAGTCACGGAAAGCTGGACATGTAATGTTTGACGCTGTGAAGGAAGTTGTTCCTTGTTGTACAAGGACAGGCATTGCCAATGAGATCCACAACTTTACTGGGATCTACTGTACAGTCGAGGATCACATGGCATCTTTCTCCCACCCCTCCATATCCGATGCTGCAGCCTGTGCTGTAGGACGTCTCAATATCGTGTTGCTGCTGGAACACTGCTCACTGAAATTCCTGTATGAAAGAGTGAGATTGGATAAGAGTTCTGAGTCAACAGGCATGGACGATGTCACAAACATGATCTCCATCACTCCCCAACTACACCCAACAGTAGTGAACAGATTGGTGGAAGGTATCCGACAAGGATGCTTCATTTGGACAGTAAAACACTTAGTTCTCCGTGATGAAAGCATTGCTTCTCTGCTTTGGACAGAGATCAATGATAACATAGCTGAGACTGTCCTACGAAGGGATGTGGACACTGATGAAAACTTTTTGTATTTGGCTTCCCTCTCTGACAGTTACTTACTATTCTCCAAGTCTTTAGAAGTTGCTGTAAGACTAGGTAACAGATCACATGATCTGTATGCATGTGTGGTAGCCTGTGTTACCCACGACAAACTGGAACACCTGGAACACCTCGTTACAGTGATGGGTAAACATGGAGGATTTAATGTTGAATATACCATCGATGGGACAACCCTCCTGCTCATGGCTGCAAAGTCACCAAAATCCAAGGCGTTCAGCTTTTTCATACAGAAAGGTGCTGATATTCAAGTGAGGGACTGGAAAGGAAACACCTGTTTGCATTATGCCTGTAAATCAGGAAACATGGCATTGGCAACGAAGGTGGTGGAAACATGCCCTGCATTGATTAATGTGACGAATCATGAGAATTTAACGCCTGCAATGATTTGTGCAAAAACAGCTCAGCTTAATATTCTGAAGTTCCTCAAAGAAAAAGGAGCCGATTTAACATGTACACGCGGGAAAGACTGTTTACATTTGTCAAGTGAAATTGGCAGTCTGTCAACTGTGAACTTCTTAATTTCATTGAAAATATATAATGTATGCAAGGAGGAGAGCGAATTGAAGAAAACACCAGCTATGTTTGCCGCGGAAGGCGGACACTATGATGTTTATCATCTCCTTGTATCTGAAGGGCGCTGATCTGACCCTCACTGACAGATTCAACACTGACTGTCTGATGTTGGCATGTAAAAGAGGTAACATATCTATTGTGAAACACATCCTATCAATGAAAACATGTGACATCAACAGACGGGGAGGATGCTCAAACCAAACACCAATAATGATGGCAGTAGAAAATGGACACAATGATGTTTATCATCTCCTTGTATCTGAGGGCGCAGATCTGACCCTTACTGATAAAGACAACACTGACTGTCTGATGTTGGCATGTAAAGGAGGTAACATATCTAATGTGAAACACATCCTATCAATGAAAACATGTGACATCAACAGTCGGGGAGGATACTCAAACCAAACACCAATAATGATGGCAGTAGAAAGTGGACACTATGATGTTTATCATCTCCTTGTATCTGAAGGCGCAGATCTGACCCTTACTGATAGATTCAACACACACTGTCTGATGGTGGCATGTGAAGGAGGTAACATATCTATTGTGAAACACATCCTATCAATGAGTGCATGGGATATCAACAGACGGGGAGGATACTCAAACCAAACACCAATAATGATGGCATTGAAAAGTGGACACTATGATGTTTATCATCTCCTTGCATCTGAGGGCGCAGATCTGACCCTTACTGATGAAGACAACACTGACTGCCTGATGTTGGCATGCCAAGGAGGTAACATATCTATTGTGAAACACATCCTATCAATGAAAGCATGTGACATCAACAGACGGGGAGGATGCTCAAACCAAACACCAATAATGATGGCATTGGAAAGAGGACACTATGATGTTTATCATCTCCTTGTATCTGAAGGCGCAGATCTGACCCTTACTGATATATTCAACACACACTGTCTGATGGTGGCATGTGAAGGAGGTAACATATCTATTGTGAAACACATTCTATCAATGAACACATTGGACATCAACAGAAGGGGAGGATACTCAAACCAAACACCAATAATGATGGCAGTAAAAAGGGGACACTATGATGTTTATCATCTCCTTGTATCTGAGGGCGCAGATCTGACCCTTACTGATAAAGACAACACTGACTGTCTGATGTTGGCATGTAAAGGAGGCATCATATCTATTGTGAAACACATCCTGTCAATGAAAGCATGTGACATCAACAGACGGGGAAGATACTCAAACCAAACACCAATAATGATGGCATTGGAAAGAGGACGCTATGATGTTTATCATCTCCTTGTATCTGAGGGCGCAGATCTGACCCTTACTGATAGATTCAACACTGACTGCCTGATGTTGGCATGTAAAGGAGGTAACATATCTATTGTGAAATACATCCTATCAATGAAAACATGGGACATCAACAGACGGGGAGGATACTCAAACCAAACACCAATAATGATGGCAGTACAGGGTGGACACTATGATGTTTATCATCTCCTTGTATCTGAGGGCGCAGATCTGACCCTTACTGATGGATTCAACACTGACTGTCTGATGTTGGCATGTAAAGGAGGTAACATATCTATTGTGAAACACATCCTATCAATGAAAACATGGGACATCAACAGACGAGGAGGGTACTCAAACCAAACACCAATAATGATGGCAGTAGAGGGTGGACACTATGATGTTTATCATCTCCTTGTATCTGAGGGCGCAGATCTGACCCTTACTGATAGATTCAACACTGACTGTCTGATGTTGGCATGTAAAGGAGGTAACATATCTATTGTGAAACACATCCTATCAATGAAAACATGTGACATCAACAGACGGGGAGGAAAGTCAAAACAAACACCAATAATGATGGCATTAGAAGGAGGACACTATGATGTTTATCATCTTTTTGTATCTGAGAGCGCAAATCTGACCATTACTGCTGAAGACAACACTGACTGTCTGATGTTGGCATGCCAAGAAGGTAACATATCTATTGTGAAACACATCCTATCAATGAAAACATGTGACATCAACAGACGGGGAGGAAAGTCAAAACAAACACCAATAATGATGGCATTAGAAGGAGGACACTATGATGTTTATCATCTTTTTGTATCTGAGAGCGCAAATCTGACCATTACTGCTGAAGACAACACTGACTGTCTGATGTTGGCATGCCAAGAAGGTAACATATCTATTGTGAAACACATCCTATCAATGAAAACATGTGACATCAACAGACGGGGAGGATACTCAAACCAAACACCAATAATGATGGCATTGGAAAGGGGACACTATGATGTTTATCATCTCCTTGTATCTGAGGGCGCAGATCTGACCCTTACTGATAGATACAACACTGACTGTCTGATGTTGGGATGTAAAGTAGGTAACATATCTATTGTGAAACACATCCTATCAATGAAAACATGTGACATCAACAGACGGGGAGGATACTCAAACCAAACACCAATAATGATGGCATTGGAATTTCGACACTATGATGTTTATCATCTCCTTGTATCTGAGGGCGCAGATCTGACCCTTACTGATAGATACAACACTGACTGTCTGATGTTGGGATGTGAAGGAGGTAACATATCTATTGTGAAACACATCCTATCAATGAAAGCATGGGACATCAACAGACGGGGAGGATATTCAAACCAAACACCAATAATGATGGTATTGGAAAGTGGACACTATGATGTTTATCATCTTCTTGTATCTGAGGGCGCAGATCTGACCCTTACTGATAAAGACAACACTGACTGTCTGATGTTGGCATGTAAAGGAGGTAACATATCTATTGTGAAACACATCCTATCAAGGAAAACATGGGACATCAACAGACGTGGAGGAAAGTCAAAACAAACACCAATAATGATGGCGTTGAAAGGAGGACACTATGATGTTTATCATCTCCTTGTATCTGAGGGCGCAGATCTGACCCTTACTGATAAAGACGACACTGACTGTCTGATGTTGGCATGTAAAGGAGGTAACATATCTATTGTGAAACACATCCTATCAATGAAAACATGGGACATCAACAGACGTGGAGGAAAGTCAAAACAAACACCAATAATGATGGCATTTGAAAGTGGACACTATGATGTTTATCATCTCCTTGTATCTGAGGGCGCAGATCTGACCCTTACTGATAAAGACGACACTGACTGTCTGATGTTGGCATGTAAAGGAGGTAACATATCTATTGTGAAACACATCCTATCAATGAAAACATGGGACATCAACAGACGTGGAGGAAAGTCAAAACAAACACCAATAATGATGGCATTTGAAAGTGGACACTATGATGTTTATCATCTCCTTGTATCTGAGGGCGCAGATCTGACAACTAATAGATAAAACTAACACAATTTGCGATGTCGTTGCATTGGAAACACTCTAATGTTTGTGATCTTGTCTTAGGTGTGCAGATATGACCTTTACTGATGAACGCATCAGAAACTGTCTACCATGCAAGAGAGGAAACATATCTGGAAGCTGAATATCTGTATATAACACTGTGTCGTGGTGTAGGTGACATTGTAGTATACTATCGTGTTATACTATGGCATTGTTTAGCTTTGGTGTACATGTCATATATATAGTTGTGTATTGCTGCATGTACCAGCGTATAGGGTTGTAGAAGTGTATATAGCATGGTACTATTTTCAAGTATTGTAACCTTAGTGGATTCTGGTATGAATGTATGCATGACATATTGCATACACTGTATGACATGATGTTTTATACAGTGTACGCCACCCGATTGATGTAACCTGGCACTGGATAAGTGGGAACCACAGCACTGTGTATACAGCATTGTACAGTGCTCTTTTTCCTGGTCTGTTTGATTGTTTTGATCTACCACAATACTGAAGGGTTATCTATTGTAGGCATTTTAAAGGAATGAATTCTTTAGCTTTATACATGATGCAGTGTGTTAGGTTTTGGCAAACATTGTCCTGGTCTTTGTTTTCTTGTTCAATTTGGTTTACCTAGTTACACAAATTTTCGAACCAGCGGGCTTTGTTTTAGAATTTTGGTTCTTGTGGATTATTCTGGTTTTCGTTATCTATATTGCCTACTGTTACAAGGACAGGAAAATGGTCGCTTCCCAACAGACTGAAATGCTTTTGAGACAGGGTACATTGAGCGAGCTCCGGGTGCAGATAATAAGATCGCTACCAGACATAGTTCAGTGCTGACTGTCATACCTAGTTGGTTCAATCTTAAAAAGATATGTCAATCACAAAACTCACTTGAAAAGGATTTAATTTGTACTGCATGATATATACTTGCTAATAAAAGTACAGAAAATCCTAACAGACTTAATCTATTTTATTTGTTTGTTTGTGATTATAAATGGCGTTGTGTTCACACTGCATTATGGGGTTTACTGCTTACATATGCAGGATTTACACGAAGTAGGAGTAAGTCATGCCACCCAACTAATACAAATATCTTGAGAATGTTGAGACTGTTGAAAGTCTTGAAAAGCGTTAAAAACGGATTAACCATACGCGTTCACTTTTGTAGTGGAACCAACTTTAAACAGCGGTTATTGGCGTGGAATTTTCTGTTGTAGAACCAGTATGTTCTCTCCTGGGATCGGTCCATACACACTATACTACTGCCACTAGCGGGCATCTACCACAAGTGGGCCTCTGCTCCGGTAAATGTTGGTTACTGCCACAAGGGGGCTCTGCTACAGAAACTATAGGTTACTGCCACAAGTGGGCCTCAGCTACAGAAACTATTGGTTACTGCCACAAGTTGACCTCTGCTACAGAAACTATTGGTAACTGTCACAAGTGGGCCTCTGCTACAGAAACTATAGGTTACTGTCACAAGTGGGCCTCTGCTACAGAAACTATAGGTTACTGCCACAAGTGGGCCTCTGCTACAAAAACTATTGGTTACTGTCACAAGTGGGCCTCTGCTACAAAAACTATTGGTTACTGCCACAAGTGGGCCTCTCCTACAAAAACTATAGGTTACTGCCACAAGGGGTCTCTGCTACAGAAACTATTGGTTACTGCCACAAGTGGGCCTCTGCTACAGAAACTATTGGTTACTGTCACAATTGGGCCTCTGGTACAGATGAATTGATGATTGGCGCAATAGAACATAAATGACTTGTTCCAGATTAGATTTTTAAACCACCTTGAATGTGTAGTGTGGTGTTAAACAACTAACAGTGAAGACTGATAGTGTAGCTTCATCAAATTAGATCGTCACGACGACCGTAACTGAACAACTGGAAATTACCTATGTATGTTAATGATTTACGAATAATATCAATTTCCGTGTCTGTTGTTGGTAACACAGCATACAGCGATATTCTATCAGTGTTCCCAATAGGTGCACGAACACAGTCACGCTCCTTTCTCCTCCACGAAGTGGGGGCGGTGAGGTAGTCTAGTGGTTAAAGTGTTCGCTCGTCACGCCGAAGACCCGTGTTCGATTCCCCACATGGGTACGATATCTGCATCGTCTGCGTCTGCAATATTGCTAAAAGTTGTGTAAAACCTCAATCACCCATTCCACAAAGTGATGGAATCATGAAAGGAATATACTGTTGCGGATCGATGTCAGGTTTTAAATTGTTTTGCAATGACAACTCGACAATGTCCCTTCTGGGATTCCATACCATTTGGATATTTCTGACCTGTCCTTGAAAGTATGAAAGTATTCGACAATATGGACAGCCACATATGTAGGTGTCATATATTCTATATCCATAGGTCAATATGAGTGAATTGAAATTGAGTTTATTGGGTTTTATCACTTTCATCAGTTTTCCAGTTACTGCTGGAGAAAATTCTGCACCAACAGTTTACTTATGTGATTGCAGTAAAACGTGTGAGCCGCGGCTGATCCTGGCGAAATAAGGGAGATAATGTAGTTGCACATTGCACCTTATATTTACCCTAGTGCAAAACAGTCTACGACGGACAAGACAAGACCCAGATGACCAACAAGAGTTACCCAATCATCGTGTTCTGAGATACTTGAAGCTTTATTTGTTGAACGACTTGTTGATATCATCTGAACGCCCCCTTTAGCATTCCTTGAGTCTTATACATTGTCACGTTAACCTGTGGTTCCGGGTTCGAATCCTGGTTAACTCAGTCTATGTTTCTGCTTGATATCTGCTTGATTCACGTCCCGAGTGCTGAGATTGATGCTGACGATGTCAAGCAGTTATGTCGGACCCAGAATGGATCATGTACATTGCTACTACAACATATATACGACACAATATCCATTCAGTATTTGGTTTATTTTATTAAACAAGGACGTCATAATATATGCTGTCCATGACGTCAACAGCAAACTAACACATTCCGTTATTACTGTTGTTATTAGTATGGTAATCACGGTTTCCGCAGGGAATACACAGTTTCGTGGTTTTGATTGCCTCTACTTTGAGTAACAGATCCAAGTCAGTTTCTCAGAGAAACAAACATGCTGACATTGGATGATACAGGGTATCTCCCCTGGTGTAGTGACTCCGGGGCGAAGGGAGAAACTCCATTTGACGTCACAGCATCACGTCATCATATCTCGTAACAACATACTTCCCAGCAGCAGAAGAACAAGATACACGTTGCTTTGTCACGGGTCACACAGGATCTTCCTTCCGTGTCTTACTGGCCTCGCATGTAATTCAGTCTAGGTACAAAGTTCAAAGTTCAAAGTACACAGTTAAGTTCGTGTAGCAGTGTCAGTTGAACATCACGGCTCTACAAAGTGGACATTCCCTTGGGTCAAACATATATAGGTATGATTCCGGTTTGAGTTTTAATCCGCAGACCAATCTCTGGGATATACACCGCTAGCTCTACATCGTCGTAGTGGAAGCACAACGCCTTCAAAGGTAATGTTCATCTGGGACAGGCAAACCCAATGCCAGCATCGACCCACGAACTAGGAGTTTCCTTCACAGCTGACAACAGTAAAGAGCGATATACATGTATACTTGGGAAACTATCTACCCATGCCCCACACATGAACTGATAATGAGAGGTGATACTGTATAAAGGGTGATCCGTGAAGGATTGTCTGGTTGAAGTTCACAGTGTACACTAACTTGAGCAACTCTCATTACACAAACATAATATCAAAGATATAACAGATACACGAATACAGTTCAACATTATAATATTACTCAGTCATCTATCTACATAAATAGTTATCTCCCCTTGGTGTAGGATTTCACGGAAGGATGTAACTTTGACGAGTAGTCACGTGATCAGCTGGGGTTTTCATATTTCAAGGACCTATCTATACGAGATAGCTGGAAATGCCCGCATGTGTTTCTGACGAACAAACAACAGTGTTTCAACGAGAGAATGTTTTGTTCAGTTTCAATATTTTCAAAGCCTCCTTGTAATTTGGAGGTGGGGCTTCTTCCACGGAGGAAGCAGATGTGGACCTGAATAAAGAAAATACAGGCAAATGCATCCCCGATATCCGTGATGACCGGCCATTTTGTATCTCTACTTCCGGTTCATATGCGGGATTGTCATAAACACTGAGTCCAGTTGCTTGTTTATGGCAAGGGCAGTCACACTGAGCAGGCTGGACCGTTTGAGAGTTCGGTGCCTCGGCGTCTGTGTTCGTTGTGGAGGCACTGCTTTCGGAAGAATTGCTTTCATTGATCGAGTTCGATCTCGAAGAGGACGGAGACCCCGCGGATGAAGACGTGGTTTCTGATGTTATCATGACGTCCGGCTCATGTTCAGATGAAGTTGAAAGAGATTCGTTAGAGGTTTCAGAGTCAAGATTTGTCAAATGTCTGTCCCTAAAAATGCCACATTGGGAAGATTTGCACTTTCTGCACAAAGAATAATGTCGAGATAACACGAAAGGCCCTCCATGCAAGCCAAATAGTTCCTGGTAGCTCGGCGGAGGAAGAAACACTTCCGGGTGAACCGCCTCCTCGTCTTGAGCTTGACGTCGCGCACGCGTAGAGCGTCTGTTCCGGCGACGTCGCTTCTCGAAGGTGCACGACCAGCAAATACAGAACAGAAAGATGACGACCGGAATAGCCGCGAGGATGATGTAAATGCGCATGTCAAATCGGGGGACACGTCTTGTACCATTCCCTTCCTCGTCCTCGTCTTGTGTCGTGTCTCCTTCCGTGTGGACCCTGTTTAGTGCTGAAAACACGGAAAGGAGATAAAGAGTTTGCACGAATTTATGCTACTGCTATGAGATATATTCCAAATGTTTAACGTAAAACTCGATAAAAAAAAATTGTCAATAAAGACATGTCAACAACCAAGTTCCCGAGCCAGACCCGCTGTTACCGTAGGTCGTCTCCTACAACCAGCTTATGTTGCTGGGGACAACGGAATTTAATGTGAGGAGCTAGACTGACTTTTAGTCCCCAAAATATAATCTATAAGCACTAAATTAAGATCTTATTTACCATAATGTAAAAAAATCTCAAATGGCAATGGAGCCCAGGACAGTCTTTAGGCATCCAGACTTGAATTCACAAAAAATATCATAGAGAGAAACATAAGTATTCACGCCACATAAAGGCACGTACGTTTACAGAAGAATCTTATTCTGTAGTTATTGCATATTCCGGAAGTCTGGTCACTATTCCTGCAGGCTAGACCCGCAGTGGAGCAGGGCAATGCCAGACTGTCTTCCCTGACGATGTCTGGTGATGGTGTGAGTTGATGGGCAGATATTCCGTCTCAGAGCCTGTAAATGGGGTAAAGTTACAGTTCGTATAGTTTTAAAAGCTGAGCCCATAGATAGGCACTCGCGGATAACGCGAGGTCGTGCTATATCCGTGTTCGATTTTTAAAATAAATTCCGATATGAGCGAGCGTATAGTTGCCTGTGTTAGTCCTTTCCTTGTGTAAATTGTACTTCCTGGTGTACATTTCATATGTGGTTTATTGGCAGTGTGACTTAATGTAAACATGTTTGTGGGTGTGTTAGAGATCAGATATAGCTTGTAGTCACTAGCTGCAGGTATGTAGGTGTCAGGGATCAGATATACCTTGTAGCCACCAGCTGCAGGTATGCAGGTGTCAGGGATCAGATATAGCTTGTAGTCACTAGCAGCAGGTATGTAGGTGTCAGAGATCAGATATAGCTTGTAGTCACTAGCTGCAGGTATGTAGGTGTCAGGGATCAGATATAGCTTGTAGTCACTAGCTGCAGGTATGTAGGTGTCAGGGATCAGATATAGCTTGTAGTCACTAGCAGCAGGTATGTAGGTGTCAGGGATCAGACATAGCTTGTAGTCACTAGCTGCAGGTATGCAGGTGTCAGGGATCGGTATAGCGTGTAACCACTAGCTGCAGGTATGTGGGTGTCAGGGATCAGATATAGCTTGAAGTGACTAGCTGCAGGTATGTAGGTGTCAGGGATCAGATATAGCTTGTAGTCACTAGCTGCAGGTATGTAGGTATCAGAGATCAGATATAGCTTGTAGTCACTAGCTGCAGGTATGTAGGTGTCAGGGATCAGATATAGCTTGTAGTCACTAGCTGCAGGTATGCAGGTGTCAGGGATCAGATATAGCTTGTAGTCACTAGCAGCAGGTATGTAGGTGTCAGAGATCAGATATAGCTTGTAGTCACTAGCTGCAGGTATGTAGGTGTCAGGGATCAGATATAGCTTGTAGTCACTAGCTGCAGGTATGTAGGTGTCAGGGATCAGATATAGCTTGTAGTCACTAGCAGCAGGTATGTAGGTGTCAGGGATCAGACATAGCTTGTAGTCACTAGCTGCAGGTATGCAGGTGTCAGGGATCAGATATAGCGTGTAACCACTAGCTGCAGGTATGTGGGTGTCAGGGATCAGATATAGCTTGAAGTGACTAGCTGCAGGTATGTAGGTGTCAGGGATCAGATATAGCTTGTAGTCACTAGCTGTAGGTATGTAGGTATCAGAGATCAGATATAGCTTGTAGTCACTAGCTGCAGGTATGTAGGTGTCAGGGATCAGATATAGCTTGTAGTCACTAGCTGCAGGTATGCAGGTGTCAGGGATCAGATATAGCTTGTAGTCACTAGCAGCAGGTATGTAGGTGTCAGAGATCAGATATAGCTTGTAGTCACTAGCTGCAGGTATGTAGGTGTCAGGGATCAGATATAGCTTGTAGTCACTAGCAGCAGGTATGTAGGTGTCAGAGATCAGATATAGCTTGTAGTCACTAGCTGCAGGTATGTAGGTGTCAGGGATCAGATATAGCTTGTAGTCACTAGCAGCAGGTATGTAGGTGTCAGAGATCAGATATAGCTTGTATTCACTAGCTGCAGGTATGTAGGTGTCAGGGATCAGATATAGCTTGTAGTCACTAGCAGCAGGTATGTAGGTGTCAGAGATCAGATATAGCTTGTAGTCACTAGCTGCAGGTATGTAGGTGTCAGGGATCAGATATAGCTTGTAGTCACTAGCTGCAGGTATGTAGGTGTCAGGGATCAGATATAGCTTGTAGTCACTAGCAGCAGGTATGTAGGTGTCAGAGATCAGACATAGCTTGTAGTCACTAGCTGCAGGTATGTAGGTGTCAGGGATCAGATATAGCTTGTAGTCACTAGCTGCAGGTATGTAGGTGTCAGGGATCAGATATAGCTTGTAGCCACAAGGTGCAGGTATGCAGGTGTCAGGGATCAGATATAGCTTGTAGTCACTAGCTGCAGGTATGCAGGTGTCAGGGATCAGATATAGCGTGTAACCACTAGCTGCAGGTATGTGGGTGTCAGGGATCAGATATAGCTTGAAGTGACTAGCTGCAGGTATGTAGGTGTCAGGGATCAGATATAGCTTGTAGTCACTAGCTGCAGGTATGTAGGTGTCAGAGATCAGATATAGCTTGTAGTCACTAGCTGCAGGTATGTAGGTGACAGGGATCAGATATAGCTTGTAGTCACTAGCTGCAGGTATGTAGGTGTCAGGGATCAGATATAGCTTGTAGTCACTAGCTGCAGGTATGTAGGTGTATATGCACGCGATCAGAAATACACGACGGAGTATCATTGTAATTCTATATACACACGTGAACAGGGCTAACTTAGATTTGAAAACTGATCCATTTTGAAAAATTCGAAACCCCTTATTTCATCCATTAGTTACAAATATCACGCGTTTGACTAAAACTCCAAACTGAGGCTATAGTGATTGGAAAGGGGCGGGGCTGTAAGACAATGGAGTACACAATTCATTGTGACGACTCACCATATTAAGGCTATAGGGGTCCCCAAGGGAATAAATAGCTAATTATTTCTCAGGTAATAGGCAGCGCGATCAATTTATGTGAGTGTGAAGCTCCACAGGCGTTATCTCAACCCATAATACACAGTCGGGGTACATGAGTGTGAAGCTCTACAGGTGTTACATCAACCCTTAATACACAGTCTGTGTACATGAGTGTGAAGCTCCACAGGCGTTATATCAACCCTTAATACACAGTCTGTGTACATGAGTTTGAAGCTCCACAGGCGTTATATTAACCCTTAATACACAGTCTGTGTACATGAGTGTGAAGCTCCACAGGCGTTATATTAACCCTTAATACACAGTCGGGGTACATGAGTGTGAAGCTCTACAGGCGTTATATCAACCCTTAATACACAGTCTGTGTACATGAGTGTGAAGCTCTACAGACGTTATATCAACCCTTAATACACAGTCTGTGTACATGAGTGTGAAGCTCTACAGGTGTTATATCAACCCTTAATACACCGTCGGGGTACATGAGTGTGAAGCTCCACAGGCGTTATATCAACCCTTAATACACGGTCGGGGTACATGAGTGTGAACCTCTACAGGTGTAATATCAACCCTTAATACACAGTCTGTGTACATGAGTGTGAAGCTCCACAGGCGTTATATCAACCCTTAATACACAGTCGGGGTACATGAGTGTGAACCTCTACAGGTGTTATATTAACCCTTAATACACTGTCGGGGTACATGAGTGTGAATCTCTACAGGCGTTACGTCAACCCTTAATACACAGTCGGGGTACATGAGTGTGAACCTCTACAGGTGTTATATCAACCCTTAATACACGGTCGGGGTACATGAATGTGAACCTCTACAGGTGTAATATCAACCCTTAATACACAGTCTGTGTACATGAGTGTGAAGCTCCACAGGCGTTATATCAACCCTTAATACACAGTCGGGGTACATGAGTGTGAACCTCTACAGGTGTTATATTAACCCTTAATACACTGTCGGGGTACATGAGTGTGAATCTCTACAGGCGTTACGTCAACCCTTAATACACAGTCGGGGTACATGAGTGTGAAGCTCTACAGGCGTTATCTAAACCCTTGATACAGAGTCGGGGTACATGAGTGTGAAGCTCTTCAGACGTTATATCTTCCCTTAATACACAGTCGGGGTACATGAGTGTGAACCTCTACAGGTGTTATATTAACCCTTAATACACCGTCGGGGTACATGAGTGTGAACCTCTACAGGTGTTATATTAACCCTTAATACACTGTCGGGGTACATGAGTGTGAATCTCTACAGGCGTTACGTCAACCCTTAATACACAGTCGGGGTACATGAGTGTGAACCTCTACAGGTGTTATATCAACCCTTAATACACGGTCGGGGTACATGAATGTGAACCTCTACAGGTGTAATATCAACCCTTAATACACAGTCTGTGTACATGAGTGTGAACCTCCACAGGCGTTATATCAACCCTTAATACACAGTCGGGGTACATGAGTGTGAACCTCTACAGGTGTTATATTAACCCTTAATACACTGTCGGGGTACATGAGTGTGAATCTCTACAGGCGTTACGTCAACCCTTAATACACAGTCGGGGTACATGAGTGTGAAGCTCTACAGGCGTTATCTAAACCCTTGATACAGAGTCGGGGTACATGAGTGTGAAGCTCTTCAGACGTTATATCTTCCCTTAATACACAGTCGGGGTACATGAGTGTGAACCTCTACAGGTGTTATATTAACCCTTAATACACCGTCGGGGTACATGAGTGTGAACCTCTACAGGTGTTATATCAACCCTTAATATACAGTCGGGGTACATGAGTGTGAATCTCTACAGGCGTTACATCAACCCTTTATACATAGTCGGGGTACATGAGTGTGAATCTCTACAGGCGTTACATCAACCCTTAATACACAGTCAGGGTACATGAGTGTGAAGCTCTACAGACGTTACATCAACCCTTAATACACAGTCGGGGTATATGAGTGTGAAGCTCTAAAGGCGTTATATCAACCTTAATACACACAGTCGGGGTACATGAGTGTGAACCTCTACAGGCGTTATCTCAACCCTTAATACACAGTCGGGGTACATGAGTGTGAAGCTCTACAGACGTTATATCAACCCTTGATACACAGTCGGGGTACATGAGTGTGAAGCTCTAAAGGCGTTATATCAACCTTAATACACACAGTCTGGGTACATGAGTGTGAAGCTCTACAGGCGTTATCTCAACCCTTAATACACAGTCGGGGTACATGAGTGTGAAGCTCTACAGACGTTATATCAACCCTTGATACACAGTCGGGGTATATGAGTGTGAAGCTCTAAAGGCGTTATATCAACCTTAATACACACAGTCGGGGTACATGAGTGTGAACCTCTACAGGCGTTATCTCAACCCTTAATACACAGTCGGGGTACATGAGT